GAGAGAGAGAGAGAGAGAGAGAGAGAGAGAGAGAGAGAGAGAGAGAGAGAGAGAGAAAGAGAGACTCATTCTATTTTGCAGTGCAGATTGGCCTGGGACTTAGCTATAGAACCCAGTCTGGACTCACACTCATGGTCCTCCTGTCTCTACTTTCTGAGTTGTGGGAATGCAGATACAGGCTATCATGTGTGGTAAGGCGGAGATTTGGACTTGGCTTTGGAACCTAATGCTACTATTTACAGGGGTAGGAAGTGACTTAACCTTTCCAAGTTTCAGTGTCCTCTCCAGTAAATGCTCTCCTACCCTAAAGGGGTATTGTGAGGAAGAATTTGACATGTGTGAATCCTTATCATGGGGTTTAACATGCAGGAATTTCAATGGATGTTGTTACTAATTTGTGTGTGGGGGATATGCTGGAGATCAAAACAAGGGCCCTATGCATGCTAGGCAAGCACTCATTGTGGGATTCTAGGCAGGGGCTCTACCACTGAGCCACACCCCTTCCTCTCACTGGGGGATTCTAGGCAGGTGCTCTACCACTGATCCACATCCCAGCCCCTCATTGTGGGATTCTAGGCAGGTGCTCTACCACTGAGCCACATCCCTAGCCCCTCACTGGGGGATTCTAGGCAGGGGCTCTACCACTGAGCTACACTCCTTCCTCTCACTGGGGGATTCTAGGCAGGTGCTCTACCACTGATCCACATCCCAGCCCCTCATTGGAGGATGCTGGGCAAAAGCTCTAGCCTTGAGCCATACCCCCAGCCGATACTTATTTTGAGATAATCAGATACAGAAATAATCAGACTTTGCCCTCTGTTATCTTTTAGTCCAATGAGGAAAAGAATCTTTCATCAGCCAAAGACATGGTAAGACCCTTCAGGGTTGTGACATAGTAAGCCTTGAAGGTGTGGGTACCCAGAAATGAGGCTGACTGTATCTGGAAGTCAGACAAGACTTCTTAGTACCTGGAACTTGTAAATTCTCTGGTGCTCCTGGCAGGCATCGGGAAAAAGAGATTCACCAGTGCCTTCATCTCCAAGAATGGGTCCAGAATGAGCTAGTTCACCCTGCTCTTTTCCTGGGAATTAATGTTTTCAATGGTGACAAGCGGAATGTCCTCAGGAGCTCTGCAGCACACGTCCTACATTCTATCAGGGCAGGACGACAGAGCACCACCAAGTGGGTCCTGGAGAAAGTGTCTTCCTTGCAGAGCTGGAGAACATTGAAAGTGATCCCAGTCCTGCTCTTATGTCCTTTGTCTTCCTTAACAGTCACCTTTTACGGGCACAGCACGTCAAATCTGCAAGTATTACTCATTTAAACTGTAAGGCAAATGGCTTTACCCTGGAATTATGCTACCAAGCATTCCAATCTATAGTGTTAAAGACCCCCGAGGGAAATGGCAGGATTTGCCCCATGAGGAGCAGCTGTCATTTGAGTCTGCTGCCTATCACAATGTGGTCTTTAGAGCTCAACATGTGTAATGTGTGGATTCTGCTGAAGGTAAAGATGAAGATCATAAAATTATACTTCTAGGCACTCATCACATATCACCACTTTACCTTGCATCATTAGCATAATTCTTAAAACTTCTTTAAAGCAGGAAAGAGAAGCACAGAATGGGCAAGTAATTAACTTGAAGTTATAGCTCTACCAGTTAGAGGAACTGACATTTAAACTATGTCAAATTGAGCACTAGAGTTCACAACCAATTGAAGACTCATCTAACTTATCTCTGAAATACACATTCTGGGACTGGGATGTGGCTCAGTGTAGAGCCCCTGCCTAGACTCCCCCAGTGAGGGTCTGGGAGTGTGGCTCAGTGGTTGAGCCCCTGCCTAGAATCCCCCAGTGAGGGGCTGGGGTGTGGCTCAGTGGTAGAGCCCCTGCCTAGAATCCCCCAGTGAGGGGCTGGGGTGTGGCTCAGGGTTACAGTGCTTCCATGTCAGGACCCTCACCACTGTCTTGAGCACTGTGTAATAGACAAACCCAGAAAACAAACAAACCAGTCTATCAAAACACCAGTGTAGATTATCATATTGAACATCATCTTTCGAGATGTCCGTAGAAAAAATAGACAGTTGCGGGTAAGATAGAGAGGCTGCTGGCCCAAGAGCATATAGCTGTTAGCTGGAAGCCCTCAGGATGTTTTCTTTGACCTATGTGTGGAATGACTGAGTCGTAGCTTGGTTGCTTTTGTTTTTCTTTCTGAGAGAGTTCTGCCATGTAGTTCAGGCTGATCTGGAACTCACAACCCTCCAGCTTTAACATGCTCAGTACTGAGATCACAGGTGTGTATCACTTCATCCAGATACAGATTGTGGCTATTTTTCTCTTTCATCTATCTATCTATCTATCTATCTATCTATCTATCTATCTATCTATCTATCTATCTATCTATCTATCTATCTATCTATCTATCTATCTATCTATCTATCTATCATCTATCTATCTTCTATCTATCTATCTATCTATCTATCTATCTATCTATCTATCTATCTATCATCTATCTACCATCTACCATTTATTTATTCTTGGTAATTCCATACATGAACACAATATATTTAGATCATATCCACCTCATACTTCCCACTCCAATTCCTCCCATTCTGCATCCTTCTTTTTATTTTTGAATAATTTATTTTATTTTAAACCAGATACATCTGTGTATGTACAGGTGCAGTGGGCCCAGATGCCAGAAGAGGGCACTCAATCTCCTGGAGCTGGATTTACTGGTCATGTGAGCTGCCTGGAGTAGTTCTGGGAATCAAACTCAGCTCATTTGCAAGAACAGTGAGTTCTTAACAGCTGAGCCATCTCTCCAGCACCCTCCATCTTAAAGAACATCACTGAGTACAGTTAGTGCTGTCTTTATGTGCACGGGTTTTGGGCCATTTACTGCAGCATGGGTGTCCTCCTATGGGCCACATTGTTGAGTACAACCAAGCCTCCCTTAGCAGCAAGCACCTGCCCAAAACTCTTCAGTTAGAGGTGGGTTTCGTGAGCTACTCCCTTGCAAATGCTGGAGTGCTGGCTGCCTTGATCTCATATAGGTATCGTGCATACAGTCAAAAGGTGCTTTGATTTCCTGAGTGTAATGTTCTTGTTATGTACAGAATTTATTCTTTTGCAGAAACCTCTCCAAATTCTCACTCTTACAGTATTTCTGCTTCTTCTTCTGGGGTGTTCTTTGAGCCTTGAGAAAGGGTGTGGGTATGATGCAGATATCCCAGTTAGAGCTGAACACTCTATTGTCACCAGATGAGAGTCTCTGTATTAACTGCCATTTAATTCATGAAGACACTTCACTGATGAGGGGTAAGAGATGTATTTATCTATGGGCAGAAGGATGAGATTTTGGGAAATGATTTTATACAATGCACCTTTAATAAAATATTCATAGTAGCTTGCCTGGCCTTCCCAGACAAAGATTTTTGGCTAGGTCTGTAGTACCAGGCATAGTGTCCCTCTTGTAGAATGTGTCTTAAGTTCAATTAGAAGACAGTTGGTAACCACCAGAACATTCATGTCATCATTGCCCCAATATCTTGCTAGGCCAATCATTATTGTAGCTGCACAGTTTACAGCTAGGTAAGACTACTGATGACCTTTTACCTCCAGCAGCCTGTAGAGCACCTTATAGTACTCTGAAAACCAGCAAGGAGCAAGCTTCCTGGTCCAGGTTAGTGCCAGCTACACAGTGGCCATTATAAAACTATACCAATTTCAAGTCTTGTTGTCAATTGCAGTAGTATTACATGATAACTGTTTGTTCCCCTACCATAAACACCTTGGGTTTTGAAGGCTTAAGCTCAAGACAGAGAATAGAAAGAAGATGAGGGATTGATTTGTGTGTGTGTGTGTGTGTGTGTGTGTGTGTGTGTGTGTGTGTTAGGAAGAGTGAGCGTACACTATGATGAGCAAGAAGTTATTACTGATGTCCTGCCAAGAGAACATGAAAGATTCACTATTGGTGTAGACTGGGGTTGAGTGTGAGTCCAGAAGGTTGCATTTATGAGGGTGAGAAGGTGGCTGTTACAGGATCAAATTTGCTCCTAGATCTTCCAGTATGAGCATCAGGTGGAATGTGCAATTAGTGATAGTTGGATTTGTTCTCAGCTTATCCTGGAGGAGCTCTTGTGGGCTTAGGAAGCACTGATGGTCAGGTAATAGAGTTGCATGCAGACTCTGAGCAGAGGCATGCCAGGTTAGCAGGCCAAGTGGTGGTAGATGTTGAAAGTATTCTAGACCTCTGGACTCTGAGATTTGCAGGGAGGGGCACAGGCAGAGGAAGACACGGAAGCTGTTTGTGGGTTTGGGGTGGAGAGGGGTTGAGTGAGTACAACGTGGCAAGTATTGGTCCAGCAAATGCTGCTATCTGGCTAGTGCCTGAGAGCTGCCTGTCCTGGGCTCCTGCTGTCTCCTCTGCCCTCTTGAATAAGAAGGAGGAAGCAGCTGGTGTCAGGAGCAAAAGTCTGGACTGTCTCCCATGATCCTCCAAGGGAGGACACAGCATTAGAAGGGGGCAGAGAGTTGGGAGACAGAGAGAGGTGCTCTTGGCCTTGCTGGTTTCCATGTCAAAGGGTGGGCAGCCCACTGTCTCACTTTACACAGGGGACTGTTTGGGTCAGCAGTGTCCTGGAACATCTAGGATGAGATAGTTGTGAACTCAGGAAATCCTTTCTCTTTGCTGGCCCCAGTGTCCCATGTAGCTGGATAGATATTATCAGATGAATGGCAAAAGTTTGGTTGAGGCTAGGGTTAGGATCTTAATCTTATCCTGATGTTGTGATGTGACCCTGAAAAGGTGACATTATTGTCTGAGCCTTATGGGACCAGTGACAACATCTTTCACGCTATTTCAGTGGATCATGTACTAGTGAGGTCATGAAAGTTACCAACAACAACAGAGGTGCTCAGTAAATGGCAGCTGTTTAATTTTGTAGCTAGTGGAGTTTACTAATGTGAAGCTGGCAGAGATTTTCTTCATGGTCTCCCCTGGCTTTCACCTCCTCTAGTCTAACTATCCCAAAGTCTCTCCTTTTGGGAGGTAAGAAAGGAGAGGAGGAGTATTTCAAGAAGGACTCACTCTCTCATCCTCCCTCACTCAGCCAAGGCTGCTTTACTGCATTTGAGGGCAGAGAACTTTCCCTCCCCATGGGACAGAAAGACAGAAAGGAAGATTGGACACCACAGGAATCAAGAGGGGAATTCAAGAGGAGGGAAGAAGACTAGCAGGTGTGGGGAAAGGGAGGACAGAGAAATGGAAGTCTATGGGGGTGAATATGGTAAATGTGTAATATGAAAGGCTTTGAGTCTTCATGAAACTAGAAACTATGTGCAGTTACTTACACCAACTCACAGGATATAAAGCTGAGGAGATATCGGCAGCTGACAGCTGCTGGGAAGGAGAGAGCTGTGTTCTCTAAGGGCTGGCTCTCTACATTGACCCTGCTCCAGAAAATACCCACTCATCCAAGAGTATATGAGAAGCACCAAGTGAATGTGGGTGCCTTAGAGGTTAAGAACACTTGTGGCCCTAGAAGAGGACCTGGGTTCCACTCTTAGCATCCACATGGTGTCTCACAACTGTCTGCAATCCTCTTCCAGGGGATCTAACTTCTTCTTATGACCTCAGTGGGCACCAGGAATGTGCATGGTGTGTATTCATGCTTACAGGCAAAATACTCATCATATAAAACAATAGGATAAAAAGTGTTAAAAGAGGACACAGGGAGAGCTGAATGGGTAGGAGAGCTGGTGTGGATCTAGGAGGAGTTTGGGAGAAAAGAATAAATAAGATAAACATATTTGAAATAATCAAAGAACCAATACAAATATATGCAGCCCAAAGAATATGAAGAAAAATAAAGACTGAGTATAAGAAGCAAATAATGATATCAACAGTGAAGCCCAGAGAGGTAGAGGGAGAAACAGACATGGACAGAGGCCGATGTTGGTAGACAGTTACTGACATACACAGGAGTGGAGAGTCAGATGTAAGAGCATGAGATGAGCTGGCCATAGACATCAAGAGACTCTACAGACAGGAAATCAGAGATCTCCTCTTTCTCTCCTCTTTCTCGTCTTTCCCCCTTTTCCCTTCACTCATGCCTCCTCTCTGTCTCACTCTCTGTGTTCATCTTCTCTGTTTCCAACACTGTGTTTCTGATTCCACTTACTTTGATGCTGCTCATGGGCAGTGCCTCTATGGCTGTCCATCCTGTGCCTCAAGCTCGGTGCCCAGAGCCCGGTGGAGCTTATGTTCAGGACCCAACAGGTGGTCTTACCCTGCCCCAAGTTCAGTATCTGAACAGCAGGGAACTGTCCAGGGCCCCAGTGGCTGAGCTCAGAGATGCAGCATGCAGACAACTGGGGCAGCCCAGGATGAGTCCTCTACCTTCTTCATTTCTCCTGAGTTGGAGATGATGTCAGTGACAGATGACGTCCTGAATAGAGACTCACTGATCACTCCTTCACAGCTCTCCAATAAGAGCTGTGCAAACATTCACTTCTTGTGAAGTCTATTTCAGAATGACAGAACTTTACAATGACATCTTCAACCCAGTGGACTATTGACTTCTTTAGGACTGGAATTTAGTTTTTACGGCACACTTTCCATTCGATTTGGTAAATGATTTTGTGTTGAATCAACAAACAGTGAAAGATCCCTGGGCTGGTTAATTGCGCCACAGTTATGAACCTTGGCAGAGGGGGGCCTTTCGTGACTGCCTTTTGGCAGACTCATAGTCTCTTCCAAAGGGTCCTTGGCCAGAAGGACTGAGCAGTGTTGGGATTTGGGCTGAGATGTCATTGCCAGCCCTTACTTAGTGTGTCCTCTTGATCCAGAGTCAGAGAAAAGAAAGAACTTGAGGAAGGGTCCTCCAACCTTGGAGTTCTGGTCTACCCACCCAAGCTCCACTTTCCTTTCTTTATCTCTGGCTAGCGTGTCTGTTCTCTGACAGGCAGTCTGCACTGTCACGCAAACAACATGTTGCCAGAAGTGGTGACGCAGCTGACTTCCATCCTGGAGAGCTCTCTTCCTGCATCCTCCCGGGATCTGCTGCAAGAGCACACATATCTAAAGTGACCTTGGTCAGAATACACTTTCTCAAATGCATGGGGAATAAACCCCACTTTTGACTTCAAGCAAGCTCACAGAATATGATGTGATACATTTGAAAGTGTTGACAAAATAGAAATATCAATTCTTAGCCGGGCGGTGGTGGCGCACGCCTTTAATCCCAGCATTCAGGAGGCAGAGCCAGGTGGATCTCTGCGAGTTCGAGGCCAGCCTGGACTACCAAGTGAGTCCCAGGAGAGGCGCAAAGCTACACAGAGAAACCCTGTCTCGAAAAACAAAAAAAAAA